GTTTTTGAACCGAAAAAGAATTTACATTAAGTTCTTATCTGGTACCAGAAAATCATAGGAGAAAGCACTGATGGCATTTTGAGTACGGTACAGTTAGGAGATGAGAAGATAACAAGTCTGGGTAATGTGAAGAAGAAACTGATCTCTTGGTAGTTCACAGTAGTAGGCAGGGTAGGAATACGCTGAAGTGAGCCCTTGAAAGTGATGACAAGTACCTTATGGTTGCTGAGATAGTAAAGGGATATTGTGGGACAGTGCAAGAAAAGAAAGCAGAAGTGATCTTTGTGGGAGCATTTCAAATAGATCACAAAGTAAACATGGTGTTCTTTAGTTAGTGAAATACTAAAACAGCAGATGAAAGCACAGCTCTAACAGCAAAAAACCAAAGTTCGGAGTCGGTGAAACCAAAGAGTAAGTGCTGACCACACGCTCAGCAGCCCATGTTTGCTGTATTTTATTTGAGATAATCTAAGACTACTTGTTCTGCAGTCTGAATGCCATGTTTTTCTAGAAATGGAAACTGTTTCCCAAACGTGCCTCATAGGTTTTTGTTTGAGGTCCTTCTGTCTGGAAGCACAAAGTCAGCTGCAGTATTATCATTTATTTTGGTTATCTTTACATTTGCCATCATTAAAACAGTGGACTTTTCCCAAGTATGGCATTGGATTGCGAGTTTAAAAAAAGTTGAACTTCAGTTTAGTTGAGGAATGGTGGGCTTGCAGGTTAACGGAATCAAGTTCATTTTCAACAGCAGATAGTTTTTAATTTGGTCCCAAGAGCTTATGTGATTTTTCTAATAGAAACTTCAACTTTGGAAGAAAATAAAATGTTTAAACAGAGAGATCTTCCTTTTTTAGTGTGTAGAATAATTCCTTTGTCCTTTCTCTATATGTGAGTCTAAACAAGGATACTCATTAACTTGGTAGACTGATTGTATCAACCATATTTGTGTCAGAGAGTTGAAGGACAGTAGAGATTTTTTTGATTAGCAAATGGATATTGTAGCAACTTCTAAGTATAAACATCACATCTTGTGTTTTGGTTTTGCTGTTAAGTATAATAGGAGTTGGCTGGGGAATTGGCAGTTGGCGTAAACAGCTTGTACACGTACTTGGAACTTTGCACAGAAGAGTAGAATAACAGCAGCAGCTGATGACAAGGGTCAAGTTTGGATAGTGCATCAAATGCCCTCAGAGAGCCATTGGTCTCATAGCATTTTAGCAAAAGGTAGAAGTAGAGCCTTTGGAAGACGAGTATTGCTATAGGAAAAAAAGCAGCAGTCAAGGTTCAGGAGAATAAAAGGGAGAAGGAAAAAAAAAGACATGCGGGACTTTTTTCTTTTCAGCTGTGTTCATTTAATGTCTGAATCTGATTAATTCAAGCAGTGGTAATCACTGGTAGTTAGTGGCGGCTCACCTCTTTCACAGCATGTATGGAAATGCTCTTCTGGGGAAGATCATGGAGCAGGTCCTCGTGAAAACTATACTAAGGCATGAGGAAGAGGAAGAGGTGATATGAGCCAACCAGCATGGCTTTACCAAGGGGAAATACAGCCTGACTAACCTAGTGGCCTTCTGTGGTGGCGTAATTGCATTAGTGGACATGTTTAATGGATGAGGAAATGGCTGCAAGATTGTGCACAAAGTAGTGATCTAGATGTGAATAAGTGATGAGTGGTGTCCCTGAGAGATCAGTACTGGGACCCTTTTTTGATGCTATCATCGCTGATGTCAACAGTGGAATAAGAGTGCACTCAGCAAGTTTGCAGAGGACATCGAGCTGTGTGGTGCAGTCGACATGCCCGAGGGGTGGGATGCCAGCCAGAGAGGCCTAGACAGTCTCAAACAGTGGCCCAAGGACAAAACCTAATTGCACTGGGGTTGTGGCAACATTCACCGTCAATACAAATGAGGGATGAAAGAATAGAGCACAGTCCTTCCGAAAAGGACTTGGGTTTGCTAATGGACAGCAAGCTGGATGTGAGCCAGCAATATGCTCTCGAGGCCCAGAAGGCCCCCTATATCCTGGGCTGCATCGAAAGAGGAATGGCCAACAGGTTGAGGGAGGTGATCCTGTCCCTCTGCCTTGTGCTGGTGAGACATGACCTGAAGTACTGCATCCAGATGTGGAGTCTTCATTACAGGAGAGATGTGGAGTTGCTGGGGCATGTCTAGTGGAAAGCAACAAAAATGATCCAAGGGATTGAACATCTCCCCAATGAAGGCAATCCAAGAGACTTAGGGCTGTTCAACCCAGATGAGGTTTTGGGGAGACCTGGTAGCAGGCTTTCAGAATCTAAAGGGTTGCTATTTGGAAGATGGGAACAGACCCTTTAGCAAAGGCTGTTGTGATAGGACAGACGAAAATAGTTTCTAACTAAAAGAGGGGAGATTTTGACTAGATAAAAAGAAAAAGGTTTTTTATGCTAAGGGTAAGAAAGCACAGGTTGCCCAGAGATGTGATGGATGCCTCGTCCCTGGAGATATTAAAGTTCAGGCTGGACTAAGCTGTGGGCAACCTGATCGAACTATAGATGTCCCTGTTCATTGCAGGGGAGTTGGTACAAATCTGGTAATGTTTTTTTAGAGCCATTATTCTTACGTTGCTGCAGATGATGGAAAACTACCCAAGAGACCTGGAGACTATGTTCTTTTGTTCATTCTGAATTTTCCTATACTGGAAAACGGCTGAGAACATTTAATGAGAAAATGGAGAACAGAAAAGGTGGCCAGAAAAAAGGAGGCTTAAAGAAGAACTAAGAGGTATCAAATATGAAATAGCATAAGCCATAAAGAGGGTGCCAAAGTGAAATTTGAATTATTTATGATATGTGAAACTTAGCCTAATGTTGGAAGGGAGTAGGAATTATTTGACGTTTGTTGGTATTGTATAGTGTTTGGAAGTATGTGGCTGGATACAGGCAATTAAGAAGTATTAATTATTTGGCAGGAATGTGGTCCGAATAGATCAGTTCTGTCAGGATCAGATTAAAGCATACATCATTGATCGGCTGATGACTGCATTGCGGGGATCTGCCTTTTCCAGGCAATGTGGCTCCAAAGAAGTTAAATTATTCTTTATCTCCAACCACAGCATGAATAAGCATCTAATTTTGCCTTGGTGGAATAGCGTGGTTTCATAGGATCGTACCATAGAATCCTAGATTCTCCCAAGTTGCAAGGGACCCACAAGGATCGTGGAGTCCAACTCCTGGCTCCACTCAGGACTACCCAAACTTTATGCCTGAGAGCGGTGTCCAAATGCTCCTTGAACTTCAGGAGCTCGAGGCCATGCCCACCTTTCCCTGCCTCCCATCTGACCCTCCCCTGGCACAACTCCATGCCGTTCCCTCAGGCCTTTGTCGTTATCTCTAGAGAGCAGAGCTCAACGCTGCTGCTTAGCCTCCTCTGCTCTGGTTGAATGAATGCATGGACCTCAGCTGCACCTCATACATCTTGCTCTCCAGATGCGTCACTATCTTTGTAGCCCTCCTTTGGACACATTCTAATAGACTATTTGCATACAATATGACGTTGGGATCAAATTCTTGGTCCTTCTTGCATCATTTTCATTTTTCCTTTTCCTTCTTGAATGTGCAGTCCAGTTCTCAGGCACACGTGTGGCTTTAATTCTTTCTCTTTTTGTTCTTACCGTATAATCATTTCCATTTCCTCCTGCTTTGAAATGATTTCACTGCTGACTTAGTAAAAAGTTGCTATTAGAGCACTTGTGTCAGTAGCTCTGCAAAAATAGCAAAACTACAGATGTTAGGGCATTAGACCTGAGAAAGGAAGAGGTCTAAAGCACAACACCTTTTTGTTTTATTCCTCACTGTAGTATTAGCTGACTTTCTACTGTTACCTTAGCATTCTTGACTTGTTCAACTGACCTATTCAGATCACTTTCTTTCTAGGAGGCAAGTTCATAATGGGAGTACTATGTTAGATTTTGGAAGTTTGATTTTTGTTCGGTCCATTTGTAGAATAATTCAAGTCTTTTAATTAATTCAAATAGTACACTGTATTATTGTGGCAAAAATTGTCTCTAAGTTTTAAATAAGTGTATTTTTATGAGCTTCTTAGCTATTACTCAAGTGGTAAAAGCTGAGACTGTTCAGACTAGCATGATAAAATAATTATGTTGTTCCTGTTGTTTGTTTTAGTATACAGGACGCTTCAAAATCTTCAGGATTTATTTTCATGTGTAATACCTGTCTCCTGTCTTTTAGTAACATTCTGTTGTTTAAAAAAAAAAAAAAACCAACAACAAACCACCACTTTATTTCTGTTTACATATTCTGCTTAAATGTAGTGTTCTTTTTTCTTGTCTTTCATTTATTCAATTTTCAGTGTCAGAAAATCCTTAAAAAAATATTAATGGAAAAACACTTGTGGGTTTGGAAGCAGCTGACAGAACCATGCCCTCAGCGTACTGGAAATGGCTTAGCATGTCTTTTTTCTAGCAGTGTTATAATTATCTAGAATGTGTGAAAGTGAGAGCTGTGAAGTTGTTCAAGATAGGTGATCTGCAATTTTTTCAGGCAGTGAAAATACTGATGTAGCCACTGTTACCATCAGTTACTTTAGATAAGCGATTGGTGCGCACAGCGCTGACCATTCTAGCTTTTTGCTAGTAAATACTTTTAGGCTCATGCTTAGCCTTAATCTGGCTGTAGGTTCTGCTAAAGTAAGATAGAATTATTAGCATATTTAATTCTCTTCTGGCTTGTTCCCTGAGTTGTCAGCGCTTCTTATAATGATATTTTATACGTTCCAAGAATTTTTGCAAAATAAGTGTGACCATTAATGCTAACGGTGAACTGTGAAACTGAACAAACTTCCATTTTGTGTGGTTGGGAGGGAGACTTTACGGTGAAAACAAGTGTGTTGGTATATACTGGTGAACGTAATTAGTTACATTGGCGTAAATTCAGAATTTGGCACGGGACGGAGATGCGAGTAAAGCTGTATGTACTTCTGTGGTTTTGATTCGCAGAGGTTTGTGCGAACTTAGGTAGCTGGTGCACACATGGGACATCATCAAAGAGCCCAACCAGAAAGTCAGAGCTTGGATTTGGAGTGCCATACAGCTATACATTTAGAAGCATGTTGTTATAGTGAGGCAAGCAAAGCAACCTTTCATTAAAACAGGTAACTACAGTTTATTTTCAAAGTTTATTTTTATGTATTCCAATCCGAAATGTAGTGAATATAAATGTTTTTAAGGCACTTGGCATTTTCATTATTCTTGAATGTTTATACTATTTGGAAAGGACTGGAAGGGTCCTCTTCTAAGTTGAAGATTTCAGACTACTGCTGCCTAATGTCACTAGATTCCTTTGACAAGATATTGGATTGGAAAAGCTGTTCTATAACTTCACTTACTCAACACCAAAATACATATAATAATTAGTTTTTTTGCTTTTTTTCCTAAGTGTTCCAGAATTGCCCTTATCTTAAAAAGTTTCCTCCTCCCATTTTCTCCCTGTGTTCTTAGTTGTTTTTTTATTTCCTATTGTGACACAGTTGTTCCATTTACCTGAATAACACATAAAGGATTTCCTCTACAGCTGTTGTAATCAAGCAGTTCTTCCTATATATGCGTATAGATTCCTTTCTATAATTCTTAACATCCTCATTAACTTTCCAACTTCGTCGCTGGGAGATTTAATCAGCCAAAACAATTAATGAAAATGTTGACCATTCCCTTGAGCCTGCTTTTTTCCTGTATGAATCATCTTGCTCTTTTGGTTTTCTATCAGATCAATTACAAATGTATGGAAACAAAAACTGGTTTTTACAGAGCAACTTAACAATCTGTGGTTATGTCAGTTGTCCTGTTGGAATCATTTAAGTACAGTTTGCAAAAGCCATTTGAAAGAAACCTTTTCTTTTCAAGTGCAGCTTACTGTTAGACCAAACAAAAGGTAATGGTTAAAATTGAAGCATATGCTTTAAGAAGTGAAATAATTTAAAATGAGTTGTAATGGCAATACACTTACCCACATATGTCTTTTGTTGATATATTTCTGTATGACATTTTTTCTGTATTTCTGTGTGAAAGATTATAACTGGTATTGTATTTAAATCTCTGATAATCTCTTGGCTAAAAATGTCAGGTTAGAGTTTGCTTAATAATTTAAACTATAGATTTCTCAATAAGAAAGAATAAATAACAGCTGAGCATAGTGAGGCAAACAGCATTATCCCCAACAGAAACGTGAAGCCACTCTATAAAAAGAAAAAGGATCTAGGTAAACATCGCATCATCACATGACAATTGCTGTGCTCATTGGCAGCATCTAAGAAAAGCCTCATACAGGGTCACTATTTAACATCTAAAGTTAGAAATGGTGTAAGGCTGTTAGTAACAAGGGTCAACATGCACCTGCTAAGTTAGATTTCTAAATCATGCAATACAGCTGCTGTGATACATGAGAATCAATTACTGAAAACCTTTCCTGATGGTCAAAATGTGACATTAAATAATGGAGTATCACGTCAAATCTTGTCTGTAATTAGTTATCTGGAAAAGTAATTATGCAACAAACTCAAGTAGCTTAAGTGAGTGATGTGGAGCACCCTGGTTATTCAGAAACTGAAGGAGAGGATGACAAATACTTTCCTAACTTGTAACGTAAAGTTTTGAACACCTAATTCTTAACTGAATTAAGAATACCTTGCTCAATTTTAATTCTTGTCATTAATCATATCTGCAATTGAAGATATATATTGCATACATAACGAGTGTTAATGACTGCTTGTTTTGTCTAAAATAAAAATGATTAGCTGTAGAAGAGAATGTGATTTGCAAATAGTGCATTGAGAAGCAGATCTGTTTTGCTTAGAGAAAAAAGTCAGGCTGAATTCCCCCCTTTTGTCTCTTACACTGAGTGTGAGTTTAATTGGAGAACAGATGAAATTCTCTAAAGGTCAAATTCGTCTTTTTCAAAAAGCTGTGATAAAGGCAACAACATAGATGTTGTGAAAGGTTAGAAAAGCCATTAAAATATAATGTACACTAAGAAGTTGTTAGCTAGCGATAGCTAGTTCAAATATTCAAAATAAGCAAGAAAAATACAATGAATCAAAACAATACGTATGAAATGTAACAGGCTTGAGTTTCGACTCTCACATGAATATTGTTTAACAGTTAATAAATATAAAGAAACAGTAATTTACACAATCAAAATAAAGCTGATTTTTTTTTAAGCTTCTGATAGCAACTGTTGTCATGTATATGTCAATTCCTATATTATTATTAGTTCTAATCCTGTTTGAAATCCAGGTTGGGGAGTTTGAACTGTATGTGTTTATTACTTAAAAATCTGAACTGATAAAGAGTAGTTGGTTAGTCATGTTATTTAAGCTGGTCCCAAAATAGCACCTTCCTTTTTTGGTAGAGTTAGCTTTGCAGCTGTTGTCTCTATCTGTTGTCTCTGAAGAAAAATTTAACATTAAGAGTTGCTGACGTCAATTTTTTTCTTTTTTTTACAGCTGATGTGGGCTTTGCCCCTGACAGAAGTTATTTGGTTCTAGCTCTGAGTTTGGAAGAAGTTGGTATATAGATTTTCCCCTAACTTTCAATTGATGTGTTTAGCTTTAGTGGGAGTAATACTATCACTTAAACCATGTTGTCGTCTCAAGGAGTTTTGCTACATCCATATGGAGTGCCAATGATTCTGCCGGCAGCACCATACTTCGCTGGACTTGTTCAGGTAATGCAAGGCCGCTTCCAACAAGCAACTTAACTCTAGTGCACTTAGAGTAATAATTGGAATTTTTATGGTTGAGAAAGCAAACACTTTTAATACAAGCAAAAGCTCTCATGTATTCGGTGAGAAGACAGTAGGAAATCAAAAAGATGGATCACCCTAATCTGTGTATTGACATCTCTCATGGCTGAATAAATGGTGTAGTTGAGCTATATTTGCTTCTATTGATTTGTCTGCTATTTAACATTCATGCCTTTGCTTCACGAGGTTGACCACAGGGCAGAGGATTTGCTATCCCTTCTGCGTTTCTGAGGGACTCAGCATTCCCACGGCAGATCATAAGACAAAGTAACTTACCGTGATGTGTTTAGGTTAAGTGTTTTAGCACAGCAAGTATGAATAGTGTTAAATAAGCATTAATTAATACGTTATGCATCTTGCTGAATGAAGAGCGGTTTGTGGGGTTTTGTGTATGTAAAAATATATCGTAGAGTACCTGTGTTACTTTTGAGTCATGAGAATGCAAGATCCTGCTTGTGAGAGAGAGTTTTATATTTTAGAAGTTAACTGGCAGTTACTGGATTTACTTACTGTTGCTGTGATGTCTGTTTTTATAATGATTTTATCAAAAAGTGGAATTTTCTGTTGTTAGACTTAAGATTTTTATAGATCATGGAAGCATTAATAAAGCAAAAGCTATTCCATTGTTTTTAGTAGTAAAAAATGCTAAGAAAGAATTGGAGTAAAATTTTCAAGCATTCCCCAAATGTCCCCTGTAAGTGGTAGTTATGGCTGCTATGTATAAAAAGGCTCGAGAGACAATACTGTGTAGTACTGCATTTCTGTGTCCTGGTAGCAATCAGTCAAATTAACTTTGGAGGAGAAGCTTTTGTATAAAATTTTTGTTGTGCTTCTTTTCTACAATAATAGTTGGTAGGTGTAGAGATAGAATCACAACATGAAACAGGTTTGTTTGTTTGTTTTTTTAGGTCCATTTGGCATTCCAAGATCATGAATTATTCTTCACTTCAGGCTTCATATTAGACATATATGTCTAAAAAAGAAATATAGCATTGCACAGTGGCTATTATCAAGTACTGAAAAAATGTCTGCTGGCCCATGCAAGCTGATAATGTTTTTGTGTTGTGTTTTTTTTTTTAATATAGTGAGACCCAGTAGCACATATGAACACATCAAGCAGGCCTTAATATCCATTAGAATTTGGGGGTGAAGGTCGGACACCAGAGCTCAGTCAGACCCTGTGCCATCCTGTCCAATAAATAATTACAAGCAAATCGTGCCTTTCACTCTATACTGATTGATGTTGAAATTGCTTTTGAAAGTTCTCATAAGTTCCTGTTATAGATTAAGTGCTGGTGTAGGAAAAATAACTGCACCCAACTGAAATGGGTGAATGTAATCAGGTTTAATGGACTCAAGAGCTTGTTGGGAATTAAATAACTATTGATTTGTTGGAAAGTTGCTGTCATTACAAAATGCCACTCTGGGCGCATTATCCAAGCAGATAGATTAGAAGAAAGGGCCCTTTGAAAATTCGGGATGCCTTATTTCAAATCCTTTTTTCTTTCCTTGGGAGGTTATATCCAGGTCTACATTACTCTGTTAAGCACAGGTCTAAAATAGTAAAGCAATAGGAACTGTTCTATAAAGAATTTGGTACTTTTAAAGGGTTTGGATGAAAAATTTTCTTCATACAGTTTCTTGTGTAGTCTTTCCTCTTTTCTCCCATGCTGTAATCTAGCACCTGAATGCTGAATTTTGGAAAACAAAACAAATGTGTAATCTTAGTGGCTACACTGGAACGCTAAATGGTTTCTCTCAGCCCAAGTTTTTATTTACATTAGTGGTACATGCATTCAGCTTAACGTATGTGAATATTTATTGTTTATTTTTTAAAGTAAACAGGTTTCCAAAATCTCAATCCAGCTGTCCAAAAAGGCATGGTGCAAAGGATGCTTTATAGACAAACCTTGATCAACCACTTCTCAGCAGTAATTGCATAATGTTCAGAACTCTAATGGATTTAAGTATCTTGATAAAGTAGTTATGCAGATGTTTTCATTGGGTTGCACATCGAGAGCCACGACTATGACATATTATTAGGTTTTAAAAATAAACTTGAAATTTATTTCTTTGCCTGGATTTCTGCAGAAATTGGAAAGAAATTCTCATTTGGGATTCCCCATGACTTTCAATTGCATTTACGTGTAGGTTGTGTGCATATAAAATCAGCCCAGAAAACATCACGGAGATTCGGGGAACTTTGTTTTGCTTTTTTTTTTCCTGTTGTTTTGGTGGTTTGTTTTTTTATGTTCTTGCTTTTTTGGCCTTTAGTGTTGCATGACAGAGTTGAGCACACAGATCTCCGCAAAGGACAGCCAGTGTTTAAAGATTCTACACCCTTAAGCTCTGCATGTGATTTTTACATTTGCAAAATGTATGCAGCCTTGGCCAGCCTCTTCTTGTAAATTCACTGGTGAGCTTCATCCTACATCTGCTTGTGTTTGTCACATCTGGTTAGAGACGCTAGAATAAGTGAAACTTATTCAGCCAAGAAAGGGCAGATATCCTGGATACATCTCTAGAAACACTTCTGATGAACAACATCTATTTACCCAGTTGCATATATTATTATATCAGAGATTTGTATTTCTACTGAGGCCACGTATTTCGCTGAGATTAAGAAAATGGAACATATATGTTCTTGGGCAGAGAATGTATTTGTTTAAAGTTTGTTTAAAGAATGAATTTGTTTAATACATCAAATGTGTCAAATCATGCTAAATATGATACTTGCAAACTAGCAAGTAAAAGAGAGTTTCCAAAAAAGTTTGTTTATTAGAGTTATTTTTATTATTAGTGAGAAAAATAAATGTATTTTCTTTCTCTGTTCCTCCTCTTTGGTGTGACTGTAGGAGGAAAAATCACATGAAAGAGCAAACAGTAAATAAATAGCGTTATGCCTCATGGTTGAAGAGGTGTTTTCTGACTTGGCACGAAAGAGGCACTGGCAGCTTTGTGGGTTTTCAGCAAGGCTGCTGTGAGGAATGGAGCAGGTACAGCCATCCAGCAACTCTGTGCTGTGGGCAGTGAGATCTACTTCGTATTACAACTCTCATACTGTTTCCTTGGCAGGTGAGACCAAACAAACGCCATAGAACACTATGTGGCAATCCAGGAAAAGCCTTCCTATCCTGCCTTTGGTTCATATCCGTATTTAGCCATTTGATTCCCACAGGGGAACCCTTATGTCCAGATAAACAGTGAAGTCAGTGGGATGTCACGTGAGTGAGAAAGATCCATCTGACCACCTGAGTGCAGGACGACTGCCCTGTTGGCAGTAATTTTGAGTATGTGTTGCTGTACTCTTATGTGTTATCAGAATAAATGTGTGAAATGCAGTTCAGTTTATTGTAAAAATTACCAAGAGCAAAATCAAAATTACTGTTAGTAATCCATAGAAAAAATGTGCTCTGCAAAAGAATAGGTTAAATGTCTACATTTTAAATGTGTACATTTTAAAAACACAAGTGTAATACATGAGATTTTAATGTTGAAAACTGAATTATTTATTACATGTCTGGCTTAGGTGGCTCCATTTCCGTTTAGCAGGAGTTTTTCATAGGTATTACTATTATAAAATTTATTGATGATGAAATTACTAAGACGGTTCAGTAAATTACTTGAAAATTCTAAGTAGAGAAGAGTCGATTTTATACTAAATGCGCTGCTTGAATTTAAAGTTTAAAAAGATTGTCTGAAGATGATCGCTATTTTTTAATGTGCATTTAAAGTATGCTTTAATTTTAGCCTTAGTGACAAGGAAAGCTAGAATATTTTCGGAGGGCTTAAGTTTATATTCATTGTCAAAGACTTCAGTCAACTAATCGAAAGTCCCTATTTTTCTTTCTTTGCTTATTTATTTGTGTGATGGTAAGGGCAGGCAGAAAAAAAAAAGGAATGGACAGTGCTTGATTAACTATTTGGACAGACTGGGATTTACTGTACTTCTACCTACATCATTCATCATTCTAAATTTTTCTTAAGGTATTTTGATTCTGTCTGATTTTCCATAACTGGTTTACTGGTATGTTGAACTGACAACTGGGAAAGTGGTAATCTGGAGACAGTTCCTTTCTATTTTAGGGCCAAGTGAGAGAATTGCTTAGAATATGCTGTGAAAAGTAGTGGTGCAGGCTGCTTCACAGCTCCATCGTTACCAGCCTGTAAAATTCTTGTCTTTGTGCTGCATGGGGAAGTGTTAGCAATGAATAAATTCAGCATATTGTTAGATGCCAGTGTATGAGGCTACCTACAAAATTTCACCTACTTTTTGGCATCCTGGTTTTGCAAAATATTGTGGATATATTTTGTTGTGCAAGTCTCTGTTGAAAATACTTGTGTAATTTAGTAGTTCTCACTTGAATAATACTTGACAAAAAGGAATGATTAGGTTTTAGTTCTTCCCATGATGCCTGAAATAGTCTTGTTGGATGTCAGAATGCAATCTAGTGGGATGGAATGCATGCTTTCTCTTTACACTGACTGTATTGCCTTTTTGAAATGCAGGAAGCAGATCATTTACCATAGGTGCAGATCTGCTCTGGACTGTTGTGGCATACTGTATTTGCAGATAGCAGGGGTTTCCTGCTGCTTTTTCTGTGCTTCTCAGTTCTTCTGTGAGTGAAGGACAAACAGGCCTCTTTTCATCTGTTTGTTTGTTTTGTTTGGGAGAGAGTGAATCTAAAATTTCTTCCCTCTCCCTATAGAAGTTGCATAGTTTTTTCCTTTCTGTGTCAAAGCAACTTTTAATACGATGCCCAAGTGAAGTAGTGCAGATGGTGCTACATGGTCTGAATAACTTTATTTACAATAACTTCCGATTATCATTGTTACTTCTGGAAATACAGCCTTTTTTTTTTACCTCGTATTATACGTGAATGAAGTGATGTAGCCAACATGTACTCTCTGTGAGATGTCAT